GTTCCCAACAGCACACCCAGCAATGTGGTGTATTAGTTAACGTGTCGAGACTATGCACTGCAATTCCATGATTTTTGTGCTGTTTGGGGTGCTGATGGGACCTAGGCGAGATCGAAGCTGCAATCCACCTTGGATAAGAATACCTTTTAGGAAAGCAAGTCTATGTGAAATTTAATGGAAACGTAGGGTCTATTCATAGAATAATAATAAAATTCAACTACCAGTCCCCTTATCACCAGAAACGAAATAGGGTGTATGCATCTCATATTTAAAAACTATATACAATGATAAAGTTTTAAAATATTTTTGAGCATGAATATCTTGCTTGTATATATATATATTAGTGATGAAAATCCAAGGTCCATCGTCAGAAGACTCATGAGTTTCTATCAATTACCATTACAGGAGTTAATTAAATCTTTTTTCAGATATGTCGGAAATCCTCACCTCAGATGTAAAGCATACAAACAGAAGGATATAGACTACATATTATGTAACTGAAGTTGAGGTAAGTGATGAAAGATTCAGTAATAAAAGTACAGGGCAATTAAAGATGATCTAAAATGACTTTGGGCTTTCGAAAGTGCATTATCAATATTTTAAGTTAGGAATTGTAATTGAGCCATTCAAACTCTCGCATAACTTTCTTAATAAAATATCTGCGTTCAAATTTTAAAATATAAATATAGCATAATTCTTTATGTTCTTGATAAACAGTGATCAAAAATGTGCATGTGATACAATAATAAAGGGTTTTTCAGCCCGATCGCACATGTTTTGATTTGCCAATGACTCTATTTCTGCATAACTTCTGGCTAAATATTTGCATTTAAATCGTCATTTTAACCAGAGTAAAATGGCTCGGCTGTTTATTCAAGCTTTACTGATAATTTTGAAACCTACTTGATCAAGTTGAAAAACAAAGATGCCATAAATAAAAATATTAGTATCGCATTTGCAAATAAGATGGAAAAGAGGGAGGATATGCCAATTAACCAGATTGTGCACTCAAACATAATAAAATAAAAGTTAACAAATCTATCAACTTTATAATAAATGCCACTTTTAAAGTCTTCAATTATGAAATCTAAAATAGCAATGCCAACATTAAGCTATTTTAAGGTTTATGATACGTTAACTTTACCAGATGTTAAGTGAGATAGTTAAAAAATTAATGCGAATCTTACCCCTTGCTCTTCTGAATAATGTAGCACAAGTGTTGTAACTGGGCCTGACCCCATCATATTGAATATGAAGGCAAATAAGAAGAGCGAAAACCATTTATCTCCAAGAATTTCAATATAAACGGATCCACAAGAAAGTAGCTGTTCTAATCTTCTTGGTTCTTTCCCATTTACAAAGGGGGTGCATTCGCCTTTAGCTGGGTCATCGGGTCCCATAGGCGTTTTCTTTTCGATTGGTTGAGGATTCAATCTAGTGTGTAGTGGAGAGACAAATATTGCACCAGCCACACAATAGTTCAATGTGAATCCTGAAACGACAAGCATTGCACCATAGTATCCGTAAAGACTTATAAGAAGTACTATAAGAGGTGGTAATAAAAATGCTCCAAATCCGGCCCCAGATAAAGATATGCTTAGTGCAGTAGCTCTAAGACGATTGAAATATATTGTACAGATTACTAGAGCAGGGGTGAAAACTAAGGTTAGACCAAATCCTAGAACAATGGTTAGAAATAATGCAGTATACCATAAATAAAACCATATCCTATCATAAGTAGTACAAAATGTCTAGAAAGAGCAGCAATAAGTAGACCAGTAAACGTAAGAAGTCCTCCTGAGATTACAACAGATTGCATCGAAAAGCGTTTGCTAAGAGTAACGGCAGCAGGACCTAAATAGTTCTTAAGTGAAGACGATTGTATTACCAAAAAGAAGGCGAATAGAGGCAAAGACACCAGCGATTCCAGAAGTGGCTGCCGCACTTGATTGGTATTCTCGCATTATTTCCACATACCATATTGAATAGGTTTTCTCTAGCCCTGCAGTTAGGAAATGCACAATAAATGCTCCAAACACTATAAACCAGGCCCAACCCCTATCCTGGAAGTTTGGGGGATCTTGCATATCTAAAACTCATGAATGATCCAAAAGGAACTCAAGTTAAAAGTTCAGTAAAATTGAGTAATTTAAACGATTTAAATAATATCCAGTAAAATTTCA